TGCACGGGATGCTTCCTGGAAGAATCCAGTTCTTTTAGCGGGGCACCCTACCTAAAGCCAAATTGAGATATAATAATCATATTCCTAGAGAAATAATCAGAAATCGAATACCAATCAAATAATATGATATATAGGAGTAGTAACCATATTTACTATGCAAAATGCCCCAACCACATAGTGTAAATTTATATAGAATTCAAATTCCATATCATCATTAAACCTCAATAGTCAATATAATAGCCCAAGCAAAATTAAATAACTTCTTATATACCTTACTGTCATACTACAAATTAATTAAACATTTGAAATCTGTTAACCAGAGAATAAATTTCTAAACCTAATGCAAGTGAAATAATTTAGATGCAATAATGAATGCCTAATGTGAGTATCATCTGTCAATGTCCTTGTAAAAAAGTCTGTAAAAGAGATATGAGTAACTAATATAGAAGAAAAAACAGGAAGTTGTCGTCTGTTGAAAAATAAATAAAATATCTAGAATATAAATTAGAATATAAAATAACATTCAGTCAATGTGTCGTCAATAAACTGTACAATTATCAAATGTTAAAACTGGGTGATACAGTCACCAAAAATAAATACTTAGTATAATAAGTAAATAAATTAAATGTGGTCTATAAAACTACAACTAGGTATAATAGGTCAATAAATTAAAAGTGGTTTATAAAACTACCACTGTGCGAACCCTTTCTCCAGTTAAAACATGTCAGTCATGTGCAAAATCAATCAAAATGGTAAGGTGGTAAAAAAGGGAAAATCCTTTCGATACATCAATTATATATGCCTCAGATTTAAAAGAATTAGAAGATACTTAGTTATCGTCGACTATGATTGCAGTGTAAAATTTGTCATATGAATTGTCGACGGTATAATTAGGGTCTGTTGTTATAGATGAGAGTAACTGTTTCTTATACGAATCACTAAAGCTTTTAACATCGGGCAGATTTCGTAGATCTGTTGGAACATTATTCCAACATTTTGCCCCCAAGTATTGAAAGTTTTCATGTGATGTTGATCTATTAACATATAGGTTGCAGCTTTCGCCGCTCCTACTACCTCCTGATATGTAACTAAATTTGTTCATAAAGTTTGTAGGACAATTGTCATGGATGATTCTAAACATATAATTTGACAGATGGAGTTGCCGTCTAAGATGGAGTGGTAACCATTTCATGTCTCTATAAACATTAAGGCTGCTCTCTGTTTGTGGAACGTTGAGAGCTATTTTGGCTACCTTTTTGTACAGAGTGTCAAGTTCAGCAAGTTTTGTCTTGCCAGCTCTACAATAGATCGTGTCTAAATAATCGAATTGTGGCAACATGAGTGCATTGGCAAACATTTTCCTATATTTAATGGGTAGCAGTGCTTTACTTCTATACATGGCACCAATTCTCTTCATGACCATCTTAATAATATAATCTACATGGCTTTTGAAGTTTAATTTACTATCTAGAATGAGGCCAAGATATTTTGTCTCTTTGCACTCCTTGATTGTGAAAGTTACCTCATTACATTCAATGGTTAATTCATCATGTTGATCAACAGAATCAAACAATAGGAATTCAGTCTTCTTTTCATTGAGTGATAATTTATTTACACTGAGCCATTTAAAGATTGTCATAAGTTCTATTTTCATGTTTATAAATGTGCTTCTGCAGGTTTGATCAAAGAATAGTGCACCATCATCTGCAAATAGAAAGGGCTTAGATAGGTTACAGGCATAAATGATGTCATTTATGAAGATACTAAATAATATAGGCCCAATGATGCTTCCTTGTGGTACACCACTCAGAACTTCTAAAAATGAACTTAGTTTGCCATTGATCCTAGTGCATTGATATCTACAAGATAAGAAGTTCTTAAACCAGGTTAAAGCAATGCCACCAATTCCATAATATGCCAATTTTTGAAGCAATATTTCATGATTCACTGTGTCAAAGGCCTTCTTAAGATCAAGAAAGATGATTCCTGGTTTATAAGACTTAGATTTACTCATATATATTTCGTCCATCAGATCGTACATCAAATAAGTTGTGGAGTGATTTTTCCGAAAGCCATATTGATGCCGGATGAAAAGTTTGTTCTCTTCCATGTAATCAGTGAGTTGCTTGCCGACAAAGTATTCTATAAGTTTTCCTACAAGTGGAAGGATGGATATTGGCCTGTAATTATTAGGATCATCTTTCATTCCTGCCTTATGGATGGGAGTTACTCTAGCTTTTTTACAAAGTGTTGGTACAACACCTGTATTAAGGCTCAAATTGACAATATGGGTCAGTGGCTCAACTATGTGTGGTACAGCTTGCTTAAGTAAAAATAGAGGCACATCGTCATATGAGGCAATTGCTTAGAAACGTCCATTAGCTTGATAAAACTGAGAACCAAAGCACTATTAATACAAGCACAGGCAGCTGACTTAAAAGATACTTGGACTCCAAACAATTTTAAATTGCAGTAATCAAATCTAATTGCAGCGGCACACACTTACTATTACTATCATGATTGTACTATAGACAGAAAATCTTTCAAATCGATTTTGGGCGCTTTTTAAACATTTGTTGTAATGTTTTTAGATAAGTTAAATATCTAAATCTATAAAATTTTTTATCGGAATGAATTAATTGATATTTAAAAAAAGAGAGTAAGATTCAAACAATATACACATAATATAACAATTACCCTATATAAAAATTCAATATAAATTCAATAGAAAACTAAATAAACACCCTTTAAGTAGTATAAGTAAGCCAGTTTAAAGAACTGGCTCCAAATTTATATCTAATTCTGCTATTTTTACTGCACTACTACTTTTTAACCCTCTCTCTCCTCTAAGAGCTATGACTGTTGTTCTCAAAAGGTCAAATCTTACTCTCTTCCTAATAAATGTCATTGCCTCACTATATCGTTGGCCTGATTTCCTAGAAAGTTTATCCGCTAATTTCTTGAAGAACTTATTAGCTTCCCTTCCCATACCCCCAGTGGTTGATAGGACTATCGGTGTAAACGTCCCATGTTCCACTTCTACAATCCTTTTATTGTATAAATTCTTTTTCTGTCTCTCGTGGCTATTGTACATAGTGGTTGGAGATCCAAGAGCCTTATTGGAAGGAGCTTGAGCATGAAATACTCTTACATCTAAAAATGCCCTTTCCAATGGGTTCCATACACTCCTAGCACTAACATCTAATCTAGCTCCATCTGCTTTGTTGGCCCCTGCAGGAAGTTCTCTCCCGTTGACAGGAATGAGGAGAGGTTCAGTGGTAACATCTTTACAGCCAGCAGTTTCTAATAGCTCTGATATTTAATAATTTATTCGGTAGGTTTATCTGGTATTGATATTGATTATATTGATATTGTTATTATTGAACGAAGCTAACTCTAGACATAGTTAATACTACTTCTTTTAAGAAAGGGACTTGGAGTATAAACGACCAAGTTTGCATAAATTTCTACCCAACCAAGAACTCAGGAGGCAAAGGTGGGTGCGTAAACTTTTGGTCTGCACTCTCCGATCCTGTATCACCCTGGATTCTTCTCGACGTATCATTGTAAAAGTTATATACCTTTTAGTCAATCTCTTGCTATTCCAAGTCCCCTAAGATATCTGATCTAAAGTTCGTGCTAGTTATATATATATGAAATATATTTTTGTCTGCTTTAATTGATACTAAATAAAATTGTTGTTTTCTTGAAATTGTTGTTTTCTTTGTGAACGAACAATATACAGCCTATAATATGTATTAAAAGCCCAGATTTCCATTCAAATACTACATACTAGCAAGTGCATAGTGCTATTGTAGCGCGATGCGTTACTGGACCGCGCTGCGCACTCAATTATGCTTCTCGCAACAACAACCTCGATAGATCGGCGAAATGTTTGTAGGTTGTTACAACCTACCATGTACCAGGACGCGCGCCGAGTTGGACTTGTCGACGGTCCCCAATATATGGAACAAATATTTTACGAGTATCACCCGTTAACGAAATGTGCTATTGGGCCTCACCGAGCTGCGAAGAATTGGTTTCGTCAATTAAATATTACTATAGGTCCTTAAAATACAAACTCGATTATTTATTTTTTAAACTAGTACAATATCAAATATAGTATTATATAAAATTTCTAAATTATCCCTACACATTTGCAAATAATTAAAATTGTGTAACTTAAATTATTTCGGAATAACAACTATTGTGTTATTATACTCAATAAAGTAATTATCACTTTTGTATCAACCAGGTGTATCATACGTTGTATGATCATACGTTGTATGACCCGCCGCGCACGAGTGCGCGGCTCCTCCTGTATCTTGCTCTAACCAGAGCCCTCTCGCTTGCAGTAGCGCGCGACCGCTTGTTGTGAAACAAGCGCGTCACGCAGTACGTGTATACACATGGCTATGTGAATCCTGTATCGTAGAAACTCTACAGGTGAAAAATTCTACAACTCGTCAACTCTACTAATAGTGAAGCGACAGTGGGGGTCACCACGTGATACAAATATATTCTTCATAGCTCGGCGAGGCCGCAGTAGCGCATCGCCGATCTAACGAATGGCTGTTGCGAGAAGTAAAGGATTGTTGGATGCGCGGCAAAGTCAAAAGTATGAAGTAGCGCATCGCGCGCGTTTGAACAGGTGATACTCGTAAAATATTTATTTCAAATATTAGACCGTCAACGAGTCCAACTCGGCGCGCGTCTTGGTAGGTTATTAACCTACAATGTACAAATCGCGCTACAACCAATAACTAGCCTGGGGCGGGGCCGTCTTAGTGTTTTTCCACGTTGTGTACCTCTTTTCGCGCGCAAAAAGTGGTATAGAAAGTTACGTGTATCAACCAAACACTATAATATAAAGCACTGTGCGTGCTCGAGGGATCTGACTACATGTCGCTAGGAACCATGATCTTACCTAGCTTGCTTCTCACACTGCATGAAAAGAGCGCCGCGCCTGCACTGTTAATCATAATCAAGCAGCTTAAATTCTGATTCAACAAATACATTTTCAGTTCCAACAAATTAGACAACTAATTAGGTCGTGAGGACTCAACAACAAACAACAATATTTAACTTCGGAGATGACAATTAATATTATATTCAAACTTGTGTGTTATGGCAAAAACATTTCAGGGTTGCCCGTGATCTTCCTGTTAATGTTATTAAAATCAGTTTTGATACCAACACTGCAATTACTTTAAAAGTATAACGAAAGCACTTGTCAAATTTTTATCAAATTCTACCTCTGACCTCATCGCACAAGAAGCTTTAAGTTTAACTCATTCAGATTCTGGCACCATAGTAGCAAGTAGATGATAGAGATAAAGCAAATATCTAAAATAGATATCTATGATCTAAAACACTAACATTATATACACAAATAGTTCATAGGAATTTACCGAAACTGTCCTCCCAAAAATGACGTCCCAGTAAACATAAGTAATAAGTAATGGCCCAAAGGACGAAAATTTAAAATACAATTGTTAGCAAGAGTTTACCTGATTTTCAAAACCTTTTGATATAAAAGAGATTCATACCAATTAAATTCTAATTTCAGTCACGATTGTAGCACGAGTGATTTTGACTTTAGTCCAAACTCCGAATATAAGTTAATCTGATAATTCATGCCAATGCAAATAGTCGTAGCTATTGAATAAAAACAATAATACAGTTAATGCTGCAATATAATGGGTTATCCCCTGAATTTATCTGCATAGCATGTCGTTAAAAATATCGCAACTAAAAACAAAAATTGGCAAAACACAATTACAATACAAAATATTTAACAGTCTTAAACCCCAACACAAGACTAATTGGTCATGTCATCAAATAGTCCAATAGGAAATTTCTTATCTCATCTAAAATCTCTGGGAAAAGAGCGGGAGTAGGTTTCACGATTTTCAGGAAGCGTTTGTTCTGCACGTTACAATTACTGCAGGTGTTATCTCTTTTCTGTTCACCGGCTGTGAGAGGAGCTAGTTAAATTTTAGAGACAAAAAATAAAATTTGGGAGACACTCAAGTTGATCTGATCAATCTACAAATTTAAAAATCGACGAAGTGAAATTAAAGTTGCACAATGCAAGATTAGGGAAGATTATGTACAATACTTACGCATGCGTAGGAGGCTTTGTTTTGGCAGTGGGGATGCCAACTCCAACGGCACACTGAAGGAAACGGACTTTATAATAAATCTGAACTCTCCGTAAAATGAAAGAGGTATCGTATTGTGAGGTATCAAATTCAAACGAGAAGTATTTCTCATCATAAAGGGTTGGGGGGGGGGGGGGGGCAACCATATTAAAGTATATTAAAATGTAGGATTTTTCCCGATTTTGACCCGGGGATATACTTTAATATACTTTAATATATCCCTATCTCCTTGGAGGCCTACTTCAAAAATTGTTGCCCAAAATAAGCTTGAAATGCAATTATTAATCTATTCCAAAAAGTTCTTGAAAAAATATTGAAAACTGATGGAGTTATTTCAATTTTAATGAAGTCATTTTGGCTAGTATTCCGAACCGAGATATTATGTGCAATTTTCCCAATTTTGTTCATGGAGGTCTTTTTACTTAGTATCCACTATATTCAACAAACACTGAGTTATATCTTTCACATAGAGTTAGTCTCATTAAAAAATATTGAAATTTTATCGAATTTGGTCAAAAGCGAATTTGGGCAAAAGCGTATGCCCAAATATGGGCATATTTTTTAAAGCTCATAGCTCAGCCAACTTTTGACCAATCTGGATGGAAATTCATGTACTAGTCCTAAAACAGGCTTATCTTGCAAACAGCAAATATGAGTGAAAAATATAGTTCATCATGTAAATCTTAACGAAGAATAGAAATCTTCTAATTGTAGGTATATTAAAGTATATTAAAATGTAGGATTTTTCCCGATTTTGACCCGGGGATATACTTTAATATACTTTAATATGGTTGCCCCCCCCCCCCCAACTCTGGTCTAAACAGCGGTGAACCACCTTATTGTCCACAAAAAAGTAAAAAATAAGAATATAATTAGGTAGTTTTTAAGTCATGACATATGATATTCAATTTTGCGTCGAAGTACAAGTAAAACAGTAAGCACTAAGCACGGCCTTATTTGGGGGGGGGGGGGGGGGGGGGGGGGGGGGGGCCAACCATATTAAAGTATATTAAAATGTAGGTTTTTTTCCAACTTTGACCCGGGGATATACTTTAATATACTTTAATATGGTTGGCCCCCCCCCCCCCCCCCCCCCCCTTATTTGTTTATTCTTTTTGACCTCCATTACCTCTACACTCTACACTCTACACGTCGCACCTCTAACAACCAACAAGCAACAGTCACCAAGCTCATAACGACCCAATACAATAATAATCATTTAAAAACCAACTGATACTATAGAAGTTACAGCTTTACAGATTTAAAAGTGGAAAACAGCAAATTTCACGGTGAAATTATGTTATTTACATTTTTAGACAATTTTTTGTACCAAATTTATTAAAATCGCGATCGGAGAGAAAAACATTATGTGCCATCTTTTGGTGCTTATTACCAGAGCAGAAGGTATTTTTATGTTCTGATATAAGTGGTCACCGGACCTGCATCGGATGTTTATTTGTCGTTCTTATATCCCCATTGGACACCTTGTTAACTGTTATGTATGAATAAGCCAAGCAAGAGTTTTCCAAATGAAATAGCTTTGCCTAAAATTGACAAGATAAAAAATAAATCTGACTAACACCATTCTACAGATATGACTACGTCAAAAGGGCCTCGGCCTCAGTTGGATGTTCCTAAAATGAAGCTGAACATGAAGATAATACTCGTCTTCCTGTTTCAGCTACATATTTCTCAAGAGAGTGCTGTCGAGATACCTGAAGAGATGACACCAAAAGCAGTCTCCATCTGGGCTGTTCAAGAGCGAAACCATTTTGCGAAGAGGGAAGCCATCACCAACGAATGTCCCGGGTGTTATCCATACGCATACTATTACGGAGGCTATTGCTGTAAGACGAACAAGGAAAATAATGGTGTAAGCGGAGCAGGGTGCGATGGGAGTGAGCTAGAAAAAGATAGCACGTGTTGTGAAGGAAACAGTTTTATCCAGTGTACAGGAGGGAACTGTGTCAACAACCAGCAAATACATAGGCAACCGAATCGATGCACAATAACCCATCCTTATGCTTACTTTAACGGAGGTTATTGCTGCTAGACGAACAAGGAAAAGAATGATGGGAGTGGAGCTGGGTGCAATGGGAGTGAGCTAGAAAAAGATAGCACGTGTTGTGAAGGAGATGTGTTTACCCAGTGTCCTTGTGGGACGTGTGAAAACTACCAGAAAGCAGAAGGTAGGTAAATAAGAGTCTTCCTGGCTCAGAGCAATAATGCACGGCTCAGAGCAATAATGCACGGCTCAGAGCAATAATGCACGGCTCAGAGCAATAGTTCGCGGCTCAGAGCAGTAGTTCGTGGCTCAGAGCAACAGTTCGTGGCTCAGAGCAATAGTTCGTGGCTCAGAGCAACAGTTCGTGGCTCAGAGCAATAGTTCGTAAGTTCGTGGTTCAGAGCAATAGTTCGTGGCTGAGAGCAATAGTTCGTGGCTGAGAGCAATAGTTCGTGGCTGAGAGCAATAGTTCGTGGCTGAGAGCAATAGTTCGTGGCTCAGAGCAACCTGCAACAGTTCTCGGCTCAGAGCAATAGTTCGAGGCTCAGGGCAATAGTTCGTGGCTCTGAGCAATGGTTCGTGGCTCAGAGCAATGGTTCGTGGCTCAGAGCAATAGTGCACGGCTCAGAGCAAAAGTGCGCGGCACTATCAGTAGGCAAAAGTAAAACGTTTACCTTATCACGTATTATCCCTATTATAAGCGTATTTGTCGAAATCGCCGGGTTTTCGCCGGATCTTCCGGTCTTCGTTGAGCCTTCGCCAAATAAAATGTTTACCTTACTTCAGATATCAATTTCAGCTGCCTGGTGATACAGGTTGAAAACAATAAGCGGAAAAGAATTTAAATATGATTATAAAAACTAAATTAATATAGCTGAGGACACGTAAAGTTTATTATTTATAATTATAGTTTATACAAAATTCATCCAAGTGTTTAATAATTGATAATAAAACTAAACACGAAATGTGCATCACTACATAACATACGGCACAATAACAATGCTCATGTCACCACAGTTAAAATAAATACGGTTACTAGAAAATGAAATCTACAGTTGCTGGGATAACCACGGTTACTGTAGACTCACGAAGGAATTTCTTGCTCGGCTCAGGGCGTCAAATAATCCATATGTTTGTGAACCGGACTCTCCATCAATCTTCAGACGTTACTATGGTTACTACAATTCACCCAATTACAATTGACCTTGATAAATAACGATAACATCTAAGTCTAATTTGGTGACCTAAGTCTAAAAAACTGATAAAAACAAAAACTGTTTAATTCAGGACTAAGGAAGGGTCTACAATATGAAACATGTCCCAGTCGACTGTATTTAAATACAATGTACAGTAAAACCCCGATTTACCGCGCCCCGATTTACTATTTTCTTTTTCTCAAAATTCACTATTTTTTGAAAGATGTTTTTTTGACAATTTTGATCCTTTTTTTTTGACAGTTTGGTCAGAATGTTTCGACAATTTGAATTTTTGGTTCTAACACCATTTACGAGCTGAAATTGACTACAAAGAAGGGTCATTTTTTGGTCAATTTTCCCGGTTGCTGGGGAGATTTTGTCAAGTTTAAAATATAGTATTATAGATAATTACTAGTTGAAAACATTTAAAAGGTACCACCAAATTGTTACCATAATAAGGTACAATTATTGTTATGATAATAATAAAGAAGCTACGACTATAACTACTAGTTATATATAACCAATATTTGAATATGTCCCATAATAATTATTAAAATCGTTCCTTTATCTCCTTAAGACGCAGATGACGACGAGCTCGACGCCCACTATCACTAAGGTGATCAATATTGCAGCAAAAGGATCGAGGAATGCAGCTAGAGATGTGCCCACCACGGCTCCAATCACTCCTGAGGCTAAAGTCACAGCACTTCCCAACTCAAATCCAGAATTTCCGTAGTAGTCGTAATCATATAAAAGTATTCTAGTTTCTGTAGACTGTATAGAGTAACATAATTTTGCCAATCCGAGAAGGATCACTGAAGCTACGATACCAGGTTTTGCCAGTACAAAACCGTAACTCAGAGCCATCATGGCTGTGATTGTAGATTGCAGGGTCAAGAACTTTACACGACTCCATAGAAAATACCCTAGTGGTCGCCCTACGAGGTTGGTTGCACCAGTTACTGCCGCTAGAATCAGGAAATCGTCACCTTGCACCACTTCCTCGCAATTTCCATTTTCGGTATCGTGAACAAGATCTTTCTTATAGCTTCTCATCAACCACGGAACAAGAATAATGCATCCGAACCCAGAGCACATGCTGGAGAAAAGAAATAGACTTGCTTTGAAGACTCTTATGGTATAATTAGAATTCGGGATATTTTGTGGCATTTTGTCGACGAGTCCGTCAGATTCGGTTGGAACAGTATAAATCTCTACCACAGACTCGTTATCTCCTTCTTCTACTCCATCGGGCTTTTCATTGAGAAACAAGTGAATAATGATGATTGGAGGAACAAAAAGTGGGATAGAAGTCAGCAGAACGAAGACTCTCCAGTTCACGATGTCTAGAATCATCCATCCTAGTAACGACACCCAAGTTCCTCCAACTGCGAAACCAAGTGTTGAAAGAAAACAGCTTTGAGTATGAACTTCTTTAGAAGAAACGAGCTTGGCGAGGGATATCCCGATTGCACAAAAGTTCAATCCAACGCAGATACCGATCAAAGCTCTAGAGAGGAGGAGGGTGTAATAGTTGGGAACCACTGCACATAAGATAGCAAAGCCAATGGACAGATAGTGACAAGAGCATTGTAAATCTTTCTCCTAATTTTTTTGAAATCGGGACTGAAATCATAGTTGCGATTGCCCAAAACAGAAACATAATCACAGCTAGGATTCCTTCTTGAAAGTCCGATAGACCAAGTTCACATGATACTGTCTGAGTAATGACTCCAGGGAGAAAAGCTTCAACACCATCACCAATATTTATCAGCACTGCCAGCGAGGCTAGAAGGTAATCCTGTTTAGTCCATAAGTGGGACCTTGAGGAATCACAAGCGGAGGTGGAAAAAGATTTCATGGCTACATCCTTTACGTCGGACATTATATTACAGGATGCTTCTTTCCTAAATAATATTTCTGAGTGAAAACGCATTAGCTGCTTGAACCGGTTTATTAAAGATATTATGGCCGTTTATTAAAGATATTATGGCCGATATAAAGCATACAAGCGAATAGAAAGGACAAATCATCTTTAACAACATTTACATGAATAATCAATATAACTGATCAGCTGGTATTAAATTAGCGTGTACGCTGTATTAAACAAGCGAATTAGTAGCTCCATGAGGATCGAGGGTTATTTTGCTTATAAGTATTAAGACAATAGTGTTTAGGCGTCGTGAACAGTATTTAACAGGAGATATACTCAATCTACTGCAGACTAAATAGCTCTCTTCAAAACGTGTCATTTCTCCAGATGAATAGTCCTCAATGTCAGCTTATATGAACGAATATTAATATTCATTGAGAAAGAATGATGTTTAAGATCATCAGTTGAGTTTCACTAAATTATCATCCAAGCTTGTTAAGGTCTGAGGAGGTAATAACCTGTGTTGATCTGCTAATAATGGCTAAAAGCAACGAGCTGGCATTGAGGACTATTCATCTGGAGGAGTGATACTTTTTGAATAGAGCTGTTCAGTCTGCAGTAGAGGAGGTATTTAGCTCTCATGGAAGACATTTTTAGTCCAGAATAGGAGCGTTTGGACTGGCGAGTTAACTACAGAGGCATTCTTGTAATCTTATAATCGGAGCTTTCATTGCGAAATTATTATGTCTCAGATAACCAGTTTAGTTTGACTAAACTATCGTCCATTATCTTACTATATATAAAGCGAGACGATATATATATGTATATATCGATGGATGGATCCGTCCCATTTTACTGACACCACGGCATCAACTTTAACGCGACTTTCCGCAAAAACCGTAAAAGATATACAACTGAAACTTTTGTTGAGTGGGTCAAATGCTTTAGTGGCCTTCAAATCAGCATGAAAAATAAAAATTGGCCAAGGAATAAGAATTTTAGTGCCCAAAATTTAGACTCCCAAGTGGTGTCAAAAACGCGAATTAAATAGGTAATAATTATTTGGGGGGGGGGGGGGGGGGGGGGGGGGGGTGGGGGCAACCATACTAAAGTATATTAAAATGTAGGATTTTTCCCGATTTTGACCCGGGGATATACTTTAATATACCTACAATATACTTTAATATATCCCTATCTCCTTGGAGGCCTACATCAAAAATTGTTGCCCAAAATAAGCTTGAAATGCAATTCTTAATCGATTCAAAAAAGTTCTTGAAAAAATATTGAAAACTGATGGAGTTATTTCAATTTTAATGAAGTCATTTTGGCTAGTATTCCGAACCGAGATATTATGTGCAATTTTCCCAATTTTGTTCATGGAGGTCTTTTTACTTAGTATCCACTATATTCAACAAACACTGAGTTATATCTTTCACATAGAGTTAGTCTCATTAAAAAATATTGAAATTTCATCGAATTTGGGCAAAAGCGAATTTGGGTTATTTAATGAAAAATTTTTAACGTTAAATTGTGTGGCTGTGTTGTCTGTGACATCGTTTCCAAGTGGGGATACATGTTTATTTTTAATTAATTTATCATAAGAACAGGTCCAGCTTATATTAATTGAATTTTATGCAGATCGTCTGTGAAAACTGTTCATTTCAAGGCTGGATACTGATTGAAAAAAGCCTCTTCGGAAGCTCTTCGGACGCCGGGCTTGTCCTCGACGATTCTCCTAAACCATCTTTTGGTTTCTGCGGGAGAGGACAAGGACAAAGATTGCATTATTATTTTTAATTAGTCAACCGAATTGAGATCCAGAGATAAGTTATGGCGTCCATTCTTAGGACCACTAATCAGCTCTTTATCAGCATAAAGGAAAACTCAAACCGCCAGATTAATTCACTTTAATTCCTTCATTTGTTTTAGGTCAATGAAACTGCATACATAACAAGCATGGACATTTCTCGAAATACTTGCGAAAAAAAAAGGATGTATACTTTGGAAGTACAAAGAATTTTTTTTTCTCCTGGGCGACCCTATAAAAAAAATATCTTCGCATTTTGCTATTGGCGTTTTTATAAAACTGATAAATGAGCTCCTGATCAACGATACTTCATCGTTTTTAGCTCCCAATCCTTCAGAACTGGTAAGAAATTGAGTTTTAGAGTTGCTTTTAAAGGGTTCTAAAACTTAACTCACTTCAAATTTAAGCAAATATATGGCCTGATATGTGCTCAGTATTTTGTTACACGTGTATTTGTATTTGTAACACGTGTATTTTTAAGAATTGGTAATTTAACACTTGTAATTATTTTTGTAATACGTGCATGTATTGTTTTGACTAACACGTGTACTTTTCTAGAACGTGTTTTTTAAATGTCCTCCGCAAGTGACAAGCAGTCCACACGGCCAATGTTGCGTGAACTGCTGTCTGCTACGGTGATCTTATTCACACAAAAGGAATAAACTAAGAATAATGTTCATTTATTTATCATACTGTGCTATGTTTTCACGTATTTGATTTAATATCTTTATCTGCCTAAAAGAATTGTGTTATCATTAAGTCATCAAGCTTCGTAAACTCGACATTTTCAATAGCTGTGGGCTAAACAAGTTTTCGCCATATTTCAGTCACCGTTAATCTTGTTATCATTATATCTGGTGGTTTTTTAACCGAACCAATGCATCATATTCCAGTCCCGCCAAATTGTGACAAATACTGGCAAATTTTTAAAAATTTTCTAATTTGCCGCAGACGCGATTACTGAAACCTTATGAAAGCTTTCGGCGCAGCTGACATTGTCATGCTTTCAGGCGCGCGACGTTTCAGGCGCGCGACGTTTCAGGCGCGCTACGTTTCAATTTCACTCGTAGGTGGGCACACCAGTGTAAGGGCCCTTTACATCTGTTCGGCATTTTTATTTCAAGCATGACGCAAGTTCCATTGTCAATTGTTGATCGTTACTGTCACCAATATGTAACCCTGTAATTAGGTCCTTATTATATTAACAAGATTTCAAAGTCCTTAACAACAAACAATGCGTCAATGCGCGGCTTACAAATACATGTAATTTACATATAAGCCGCGCATTATTAAGGACCTTAACAGGGTTACATCTAGGTGACAGTTTGCCCAATATATAATACACAATAAATGATAAATCCTATTCCCATTCGACTGATTTTGTTTTCGGATTAAGCAGATTTTAGCCCGATTTTTCGAACCTTTCATCAGTGAAAAATGAAACTTCTGTTATTCGATACAATTTGTAACATTCACTGAAGAAACATATAGAAATAATGATATTAACAAGGATTAAATATCGCTCAAATTCAAGCTGACAAACAATAAGGCGATAAGTTATATTTGGGAAAATGTTTTGTTACACACAACAATTCTTGAACTGTGTATAAATAAAATTGTACAAGTTTATACCTACCCAAAAATAAAACACTTTCATATCATAATTTAATGTGTTGGGTATTTTATGTTTATTAAGAATCGAAAAACAGTAAGAATCCAAATAAATATATCATTTGCCCGGTCTTTAATCAGAATCATTTGACGACCCTGAGAAAACATCATCAAATCACGCTCTTCAATACAAAATATCGTACACTAAAAAGTCGCATTTGGTTTACCATCTACTAGTTGATTCCTGAAGCAGATACTCAATGATTACTATACTTAAAACCAACTAACATAACGGAAGAAAAGCTGCACAAATGGTACATAAAATTGAGAACTGACATCAAGAGCCACCAAATTCTTCTTCAAGCGAATCGGTCTCTTATTCCAGCTCGCAAGATATTGTTTCAGGCAGGTTTTCAAAATACGCAGACTTCAACTGGAAATACACAGAACTCTAAACAGCAAGTTCTCCTCTAACGTGCTTGCTGAATTGATTGAGTGAAAACTACCGCATATCTTGATATTAGACCAATGTGTATTTGTGATAGGCTCCTTCTTAGATTTCCTTCAAAACCAAAATAAAGGTAACCTGAACAAATTCGTTTACTCTTTTTTTCCACTGCTAGGTTCATCTCCATTCTCCATATTATTGTTATCAATATCCAATATCTTGAGAGTATACACGCGCTTTACTGAACGTCGTACATTTCGACTTTCTTTTCAGTTACAAAATCGCCCACAAGTTCTCTATCACGTTATAATCCTGTTGCAGTTTAACCTAGGTTTTACAGGTCATTCTAAACGTGGGTTTTAAGAATTGTACCAACTACCCAGATGATTATATTATCAATGAACAGGTCGACCCGAAGGTACCAGCACTGAAGCAGTGTTCCACCGCCAAAACATCTAGTTTATTAAAATCCCAAATGTAGGTTTACATAATTAGTTACAAGCCGTAAAGAGCATCAAAAAATTTCCCAAATTTATAGAAAAACCGAATCATTAATTAAGGTCTGACACTTGACTAAAACTGAACTATGAAACTTTTTCTCCGTTCAATTTTGTACGCTTACACTTTATCGGTCTTAAGTTGTCCGGACAAAAGCGTTGCCGGCTTTTTTCAGACTCACCTGTTTGCCAAATTCTTATTTTCGCCTCTTAACACCAGATAATACTGGACCAATTTAGAACCGGTACATCCAAATTCCGAACTAAAATGCATGGACAAACTCAAGTTAGATACTAGGACCGTAGAACCAAGGGCCGGTAATTGCGAATGGAATATCACAGTTCACTATGTATTCAGTAAATACAGTCTACTCCCAGATCGAGGCGTAGTTACCGATAAGTTCTAAAGGTAATGGACCTCCGGCTGCGAAAAGTCGGAGTCCCGAATCATCGTAGCAGTGAGTCATAATGCTGATGACATCTGATGTTGAGGGAGGGTAAAATGAGTAGCGGTGCATGTGCCAGTCCATATTTTCTGCCTGAAACATTATAAAGTTTAGACTCTGAAGTTATTGGTAATAAAACTGATTTGTTTACTTTGTTAGCTGCCATGGGCTTGATAAAATGTTTATCCATTTGAACTGATTCGACCACACAATAACTGATTCGACCACATAAGTGATGCCATTCAGCCTACCAATGAAGTTGCAGCGTATGTTTCATCATACAAAATTTGCAACAGATATACTAGTGAACAATGCGTGTTCTATTAATAGGTATGTAGGCTTTGGAAAGACGTAAACAAGACGTAAACAAATGTCATCTGACCTGAGCCGCGCACTAAATTTTCCAAAAATAATACAGTAGATGTTCACAGGAGTGCATTTTTGACGCAGTTAGACAGTTCGCGTGTTACGTTACACAAGCATTCAAATTATTTTCATAACACCGAGACCTTGATAACGCTGTCTCACTGAAGTTTATCACCCATGAGTCATGACCCAGTCACACCAATTTTATTAACACAATTAAATGATATAAACACAACTCTATCAACAAAGCAATGATACCAAAAGAACTTACAACATATCCCTGCTTGAGTTTTCGTTTGACTGGATTTTCGTCGTGATCGGTTACATATTTTCGATTTCTGACGTCGTAGAACATAAGGCTGGTTTTACATGCCCCTATTGTAATGATGTCTCCTTGAAACGATAACGACCTGCAAAATTACATTTAGTTGGTATTCCACACATTCCATTCTATCATAAACTACACCAAATTCTTGAAAAGAAGGCGAAGTTAAATACCAATACTTTCAAAGATATAACATACCTAATGCCTTGAGCGGGTTCGAGGATTTTAACTGAAGTAATATCGGTTGTATTGGGATCTCGATCATCGATAAGCATGAGATGGGAGAGGCTGCCAACAGCAAATAGAGGGCTGCTGTCATGTCCTGATATCACTATATTCTCCTCCTTTTGAGGCAATGTTATCACTCTTTTCTGCAGCTGAAAAAGTCTCCTTAATAAGTACAATGATGGCGGATCTCAGATTTATCAGTTTATATTTTCCAAATGGGTGATTTTCCAAATAGGTGATCGTATTCGCGATAAGAGACGGATCACATCAAGAAAAAGATAAGAGGGTGGTAGGATTACATAGATGTGAAATCTCAGGTCACAGCCCAATTAAATAATTAATTAAGTTATTACCGGTTGCCTGATGTCCACAAAACAGACTTTAGCGTCGTATTTACCAGCTCCATATCCTATAGTCCCCAATCTCTAAAAATGGAATTTATGCGTTACATTCCACGTGGCATATGCCAATGTAGTTCAATTATAACTGTACACGTCACTGTGGCGAAATTTGACCTGGAGTTGTCCACCATCAACTTGCCGTTAAGGCGGAATTTATAACCAGGAATTTTCGCAAACTGTTCACCACAGTGTCAATTAAATTCTTTGATTAGCTCCCAATGATTGTACTTGTATTTTAATCATATAAACATGATTAAAAAGTACAATATATGCGATATAATAATCCTAGCCATAATATGATGATAGTCTCGATCTTTAATAACTAGTTTCAATGTATTCTGCATGTCCAATCATAGATTTAAACGGCTTCAATATGCTATTATACTATCACGCAAGGAAGCTTCTGGAAAATTCCATGAATTTCGCTGATAGCATGCACTTAAGTTGCAAATAATCAACTCAACAGTCAACAGTCAAACCATGTATATCATATTTGAAACATGTGTTCAAATTAGATTTGCAATATGACCTTATACTAAGTTAATAAATCACGTTGAAACCTGGAACCACTTAGCCGACCTACAATTGCAGGAAGAGCAGCTGAGTAGGACTAAAAATAGATCTCCAGCGCACGTGACAGCGCACGTGACGTAAGCAGTGTGTACACTGTACACTGTACATGAAACTATATACTTAACTAATTGACCTGAATGTGCTCACTACAGTACACGAGTGTAATAATCCAGACAGATCTAATGTTATTGAAACACTCTAGGCACAACTATTTATAGTGCAGAGCTATTTTCCTTTGTTTAATATCTCAACATGTGTTGTTATATTTCGGGCTCATTCAATTAAAGTCAATAATAAACCCTGATTTAACCCTGAATAGCGTCATTATACCATGGCCAGGACGTTGTTGCGCCACAAATTATAATATTGAATAGAAGACAGAAGTGCATAATAACGGGCCACTGGTACACTCTTTAAATTAACGTTGTACAACATGATACCTACACCAGAAACATAATGTACAATGAGACTTATCACCCGCAAATATTCAGTACTCTAACCTAAAATATGGCAGTTTTAGTGCTTCCACAAATGGGTATGTATACCAAATTTTCATCATAATTTTGTCCACCACAACATGCCATACATATTTCTCATTTCTACTTCATTCTTAATTCGTACAAGTTAAACTTGTATAATAACAAATAGTTACCTCACAGGTGGGATTGTAGTGTGTATCTCGTATCCGGATAATACCCTCAGTTCTCAGTATCTCGATAGGTGTTTTCCGGTACATTCCACATTCTTCTTCATATGTTGAGAAGCCATCAACGTCGAATATGGTCCACAAACACACGTTACCATCCCGTGCACCTGGTTAGAAGGGAATCTTTTAAATACATTTTATTCAAAACTTTTTATATACTTGACTCTAAATCTTGGCGAGTCAACATCGCATATTAAATGTATTTAGTGCGAATGACGCCAGCATATGTTTCCTGGATCATACATTAAATAATGTAGTGTATTATTGCAGTTTATATGATAGAAACACCTCATAGTTGAACCATACAATGCGAGTATATTATTGGAAATGAAAACGCGCCCATCGCACACCACCAATTTCACTATTTACCCTATTTCTCTATTTATAGGATCACTAAATCGAATTCTGCTTAAAATACATCCTGTGTTTCCTTGTCTGTAACTAGCTTCAAAACAGCAAGACAATTATCTTACAATTATCTAATCAAAAGAGCAGATCTTGGTCACAGTTACTTCAATATTGGTGATTGGAGGAAAACATTTGGAATGCGACCAAATTACTACACAGGTCATTTTCCTTGGATGTCCGTGTAGTGTCCGGTTGTTAAAGAAATAATGCACTTAAATTAACATGCATTCACAAACCGCAAACGGAACATCCACCTTTTAGCTAAGTCATTTATGAGCTGCACAACTTTATTACTACTACTTTTCATTGTCGAAAGCTAAAATTCATCTGTAGATGTGTGAGGCTGATCTTTCGACAGTTAAACCCGATTTACTGCAGAGTTTGGGGAAAGGGAAACAGTCCCAGTAAATCGGTTTGTTTTTTATTAAGTATGTTTGGAGGAAAGGAGGAAAGGAAATGGCCACGTTAAATCAGGGTTTTACAGTTTTACTTGCTGGACAAATAAAGACAACACTAACCAGTACAAAGCATGAAGTCGTTGATCCACGATATTCCGAAGAGCCAGCTTTGGTGAAACTCTCCGACAGCGTACGGCTGATAATCTGGCAGGGAGTACAGTGCTAAATCGTTGACATTTTGACCTCCAGTAGCCATGAAGGATTTGCTGGGGTTGAGAGCGATAGCGTGTATCCCGGCAGTCTGGTCTGGTACTTCCCGCGGGTAAGGTGATCTCATTAATGGTATCTCTCGTTTTGATCCATTCTGCACATTAATTTCTAACAACTGAAATCATCGATAGTTATAACAGAATTATAAGTAGTATAAGTTAGAAGAACAGGCAGTTCTAGACAATAAAAACTTGCTGAAGCAATATGAAATTCTGATGTATTGTCAGTCAATGCAATTATTTAAGTTCAGCAGTGTGCTGTGTTAGTTAGAGGAATGTATCGTTTTGTTGAATGTTTACACTTACACGATTACATTTGGTGCCCACAACCACATGGTCAGTGTCCACCCAAACAGAAGCAAATATCTTATTGTAAGTGTTGGGCACTTCGATACATCTCTCAGTCAGGTAGCTGCAGTTCCGGGACTTGGCTATTATTTGCTTGCGATGGTTGTAGGGTATAGGTCTCTTACTGTCCCTGTTGTACAGGTGCCCGATAATGTTTTCCATTTTTCCCATCTTGCCGGTCGTATGTTTCCATTCTATCTTGATAAACTCACATGATAACTTTCAGTTCCATTCTATTCAAGGGTTGAAGATTAGAAAAATGTAGATTTAAAAAGATTTGTTTTAGATGCCACAATGATAGAAAACTACTGGTTCAAATAATGAACAAAGAAGGCACAGCCAAATTGTACCCAATATTGTAGTCCACATACTGAGGCAAAACTGTATGTAACAGTTCTACTGTTGTTAAGTAAGTGACAGAGAAAGGGCTAGATAAACTGGATAGACTATAAGTTCGCTAGGTAATTCTAGTACCGTTCATCAGATATTTGTAAATATCTGAAAACTGAGACTGTGTCAAGATCATAAACCTGTTTTCATTTCTCCAGATCGATCACCTGAAGATCAAGCTATTCGTCAACAGATAGCCAAAGTAGCCAAAGTAGACAAAAATAAACATTATTATATCAGAAGTGAAGTGGTAATTTTTTTTGTGAGAATAAGATATTAAAGTGAGTGATATATAATAATGAGTGATAAGCAGCGCATGTGTGATACAATTTTTATGTCAAATAAAGTACTTTGGTTCTTACATTTTTTACTATCACATTCACAAATTGAGTACCTAGTTTTTTGAGTATGTTGTAAGGCTTCTTCGACATCGGCAATCTTTATTTTAATTTTGAGTGTTGATGTAAGCAGGATAAACATACTGTATTTTATTTCATTTCAATTATAATGTATACAAGGTAATATTTATTCAAATTGTATTTGATTGTATTTGACTTTTTATCATGTTATAGTTTGATGCTACTTTGCATAGATGTGTGATAATGTAATGTCGAATACATTTTGCTCCACTTTCCTTTACTTTTTTTAACAATAGTTTTATCCGGTTTATCAAGTTTTCAATCATGAACAATAATCATAGCTACATTAGAATAATAATAATAATAATTCTACATTAGAGAATCATCAAGGAACTACAATGTTGAGTGTCGACCCTTGGCACATATCCAAAAGAGGGATGTCGGTATCTTGAAGAAGTGTCTCAACAGGGAAGATCTTGGTACCCTCAATCCACTACCGTACCTGTACCTTCAATATGGCAGGAAACCAGGGCTCATGCTGCTACTGAGATAAAGCAGAGGATGGGGCTTCTTTGGGATCTAACAAATAAAGTTTTTTAAATAATTATATACAACCACTAAAGAATATTTCCTCAAGTTTACTTCTAGTTAACTAATTCGTGGTTTAAGCTCTTATTTTATTTATGAAAGGAATGTAAAATAAAACTTATTGTTTCATTGAAAAGGAAAACAAATTTTTTTTAGGAAAACAAATTTAAATTTTGGTATTTACGGGTATCGGCCTTACAAAATGACAGGCCTCACAAAATGACAGTCGACATAGACCATGCTGTAGCTTAGGTTCCCTATACATTGAACCCTATTCCTTTTACTGTATGAAAGAAAAAGCATTAATTAACACTTCCCAAGGAATGATAATGACATAAAATCTATATTTCTTACATAAATTTGGACGTTTTTGCTGTTCAGTCATTGCCCCGCCTAACTGTTAACCAGAATGGAGACCAAAGTTTTGAATTTAACCCCAGGAAACCAGGTACTACCATGACTTATGTCAATCAAAGACTACTCTGGTTAAATAAAAAAACTGATTTAGTGACTTTGGTAGGAAAAATGACAAAAAAACGACCTAGCCTCACAAAATGACAGTGTTATGCCTCACAAAATGACAGTTTTATTTTATGATACAAAGATGGCATATTTATATTGGATGCACCTTGTCTAATCATTGGTATTCTAAAACCCAGTAAGCTTATGATGAGCCTATATGTGTTCGTTTGATCATCAATTTTGATAAAAATGCCTCACAAAATGACACCGAAAGCCTTACAAAATGACAGTGTTTCAGATTGAATTACTTTCATCATCTAAAATGGATCAGAAACAGTCAATACAAGAAGGAGTTAAATATAATCATAATCTGACAGTTAACAATCAAGTAAGCATTACAAAAGTGCAGCTCTGATATCAAAACGTTTTAAAAATATTTCAAAACTCAACGAAATAAAGCTTCTATTTTGTGAAAGCAGAGAGTAATACATGTCAAACGTTAACTAAACACTGAAAAGTGATCTATCCAGGCATAGAACATATCAAATAGAACCAAATACTGTGTTCAAGTATGAAAACAAAAAATGATTTTTACGCCTCACAAAATGACATTTTTTCAATTTTTTCAAAGTATAAAAAATGTTCCTTTTTTAATATATTCTGGTAAAAACAGAACTGGTATAATATAAACAACATATATATCTAACAGTAAGACACGTGAAAGAATAATGAAACTTTTTCCCAAATCGGATTTGGAGTGATGCCGTTTTGGGTTGTCATTTTGTAAGGCACAATCTCACGCAAAGTTGCCCAACTTTTTCCAACCATCCTTTTTCCTGTAAAAGCTATTCTAATCTTCAATATATTATATTTATCTAACTGTCCTAGGTGAAATCAAATTTCTATAGGCTGCTGTTAAAAAATGACAGCTGTAACGAAATTGTCATTTTGTAAGGCATGTTTTTTTGGAAGATTTCAAAGATGACAATTTTTATCGCAAAATTTACGGTTATTTAATGAAATCAACCCCCGGGAAGAAAAATATACTTGTTGAACTACCTATCTGGATAATAAAACATGAACAAAACTCATTTTTGTGCATTTCAGAGCCATCTCCTTTTTCATGTCATTTTGTAAGGCCGATACCCGTATTAATAACAATCAAAACATATCATATCATAAAAATAAAGCTGCGCGTTGGTTGACTGCCTCAGTAAGGTGAATAATATAAGCTCGAAGGTGCCCTGCGCATTTACAGAACCTCATGCGGCGATCACATGATCATGAGGACCTGTGAGCGCCAAGTTTAATTTAAAGTTTTTAGAAATCATAAATCACTACGAGTTACTCATGCTTTTTTAATTTTTATAGGAGTGTAGATTGTCAGGTATTTCATTCATTCAAAACTTATTGTTTCATTGAACACATCCTAAGGCAGTCCAACACTGACCCGGCGCACTGGTGAGTGGTGTTGGAATGTCCACTTAGGTACCTAACCTGATTGGCCAAAGTAGCAGAGTTTCATGTATATATTGAATTGAGCATTCTCAGCTGAAAATTGGGAACTCCCTGTACATGCATATTGTAGTATAGTACTATGTTAACAGTACACTACATTGATGTACTAAAGGAGTACCACAAGAAGATGTTGATCTTTTGGTAGGACCCATCTTCATACAACCGAGGAGATATGAAAACGTTTTGAACAGTATACAGATAATTCCAGCAATGGTAATTGTCTAGCTATAAGGATAGACACCCTCGAAAAATGAATAAACCAATACAATGGATTAGAAGTTATAAAAATGGCACACATTTTGAAAACTCGAGGAAATATTGCACAGATGTGTTGATTTTTACAAAAACAAAAAAAAGGGGGGGGGGGGGACCCCCAACCCATGTAGCTGAGACACCTCACAGCAAGTAGACCAAAGTGGCTCTTGCTTGTGATCGGTGAATCAACTACCAGCCGAAGCGGTGGGTTAGGAGTCCCCCCTGGGATCATTTCGTCCGTAAAATTGTATACAATATAAAATAGTACAGTAAAATATCTACAAAATTTACGTAAGCAAATCTACCTGACCAAAAATGTTTCGAACAGTATACAGATAATTTAAGCAATGGTAATTGTCTAGCTATAAGGATAGACACCCTCGAAAAATGAATGTGTTGATTCTCACCAAATACAAGTTTCACCACTCATCTTCCTCAAAATCTAAGCTCTCCGCCCAAATCAGTCATAACATGAGGGAAGAATTCGTGAATACCTCCTCGCCAAAACTTAAATTCTGTTATCCAATTAAACATGATTTTGAACCAGAGGCACATCTACGAATGATCAAAATAGCTGATGTTTGAAAAAGCTTGACAAGGTTTCGTATCACATATCAGCTGCCACAGCACAACCTCTACGTCGAAAGGGACAGATACGAACCCCCCCCCCCCCCCCCCCCCCCCTTGTATATACAGTGTACTAAGAGAAGAACGTTGGAGCACTTACTGCTTTTTAGCAAAGGGCTCAAGCCTATTGAGGACGAAAATCACGTATTAATAGACTGTTTCCTTTACTCCTCAGTAAAGCAAAAAATTAAACTTCCATCCCCAAAACATCACTGACCTAGTAAAGCGCCCGGTCTGCTCTCCAACAAAACTCTACAGCCTAACAAATTTACTGCCACAACAAGAGCAATCCATTCAGTTCTTTTTTGCTTGAATTTTAACTTCAAGCAATTGCTTAGAAACGTCCATTAGCTTGATAAAACTGAGAACCAAAGCACTATTAATACAAGCACAGGCAGCTGACTTAAAAGATACTTGGACTCCAAACAATTTTAAATTGCAGTAATCAAATCTAATTGCAGCGGCACACACTTACTATTACTATCATGATTGTACTATAGACAGAAAATCTTTCAAATCGATTTTGGGCGCTTTTTAAACATTTGTTGTAATGTTTTTAGATAAGTTAAATATCTAAATCTATAAAATTTTTTATCGGAATGAATTAATTGATATTTAATAATTTATTCGGTAGGTTTATCTGGTATTGATATTGATTATATTGATATTGTTATTATTGAACGAAGCTAACTCTAGACATAGTTAATACTACTTCTTTTAAGAAAGGGACTTGGAGTATAAACGACCAAGTTTGCATAAATTTCTACCCAACCAAGAACTCAGGAGGCAAAGGTGGGTGCGTAAACTTTTGGTCTGCACTCTCCGATCCTGTATCACCCTGGATTCTTCTCGACGTATCTTTGTAAAAGTTATATACCTTTTAGTCAATCTCTTGCTACTCCAAGTCCCCTAAGATATCTGATCTAAAGTTCGTGCTAGTTATATATATATGAAATATATTTTTGTCTGCTTTAATTGATAATAAATAAAATTGTTGTTTTCTTGAAATTGTTGTTTTCTTTGTGAACGAACAATATACAGCCTATAATATGTATTAAAAGCCCAGATTTCCATTCAAATACTACATACTAGCAAGTGCATAGTGCTATTGTAGCGCGATGCGTTACTGGACCGCGCTGCGCACTCAATTATGCTTCTCGCAACAACAACCTCGATAGATCGGCGAAATGTTTGTAGGTTGTTACAAC